TGGTCTGGCCTCTGCCTGGCCCGCCCACAGCCCTGGGCTCCCTGGCACGTGCCTGCCGCAGGAGGGCAGCCCCAGGGGAGACGTCACGGGGCCGGGCGAGAGAGGGCGCTGCTCACAGCCGCGGCCCTGAAGCCGCCCGGGTGGAGCAAGCTGGGCCTCGTCGCCCAGGGCAGTGGGGACAGGTGCAGGGTCTGGGCTGGACCGGGAGCCTGGGCGGCACCTTCCGGAAGGCGGGGTGGGGGCAGTCCGGCCCCCTGGCCCCAGACGCCCCCACTGGGGCCTGGGCCCCGAGACAGCACGAAGCCCTCCGCTCCCGTGTCCGGCCCCGGCAGGCTCGGGTGGTACTGCGCCCGCCGGCCGGCCGGGTGTCCACCACCGTCGGCACGGCCAGGGCCAGCCGGTCCCTCCCTGGAAGGCCCAGCGGTCACCGCGCCCCTGCGAGAAGGCTGCACTGCGGGCAGGCACTGGCCCGCCCCCCCCCCGGCCTGCCCCTGCACAAGCTGAGGCCTTCTCCCAGGACGCGTGGGCAGGGTGGTGTCCGCCGCCCTTGCCAGCCCCGACCGGGGGGCCCTGTGTGAGCCCCACTCTGGGCTCCCCACCCTGGAGGGGCCACAGGGGTCTGCCCTTGCTGGGCCTGGGCACGCCGGCTGGAGAGTGTGGCCCGCCCAGGCTGCCCACGCAGGCCCACCACGCACGGCTCCCGGCGCGCCCCCAGATGCCCACTCGGGCTCCGCGCCCCTGACCCAGGCCGAGGGGCCCCCAGACCGACGGGCCGGAAGGGCCGGTGTGGCTCCTGGCCTGGCCTCCCCGAGAGCGGGGAAGCGCCAATTTCAGCTGACCGGTCAGTGCAGCGCGGGCGCCTCAGGGCGGCCCTTCCCACAGGACTGGCAGCAGGGGCCTCCAAGAGCCGGGCGGCCGGGCAGGCGCTGCCCCGGGCACGAGAGAGGACGGGCGGGAGCGGGCCGGGGCCTGGGGCATGCTGGCATGGCCGCCCCTCACCCTGCCAGGAACCTTTCCAGTGAGGCGCGGCGCAGGCTGGGGTCCCCCTGCAGAGGCGGCAGGGCCTTGCTGGCCTCACGTGCGGCGGGCAGCGCCCGGGGAGGGCGAGGGTCGGGGCCGGCTGAGCAGGACAGCCACCCGCCGGCCTGCGCCCAACACCTGGGGCCGGAGATGGGCACTGCTCTGGGCACAGGCCCGCTAGGGCACCCCGCAGGGTCGCCCCACAGCCTGGGGCTGTCCCTACGGCCCGGCAGGGCCCCCAGGCGGCCACCTAGCCCGGGCGGACGCGCGGCGGAGCCTCGGCCGGGTCAGGGAGGTCTTCGGCGAGGAGTGGAGCAGACCACAGTGTGCTGCCCGCTGGCCAGCAGAGCCCGAGGTCGACGGGCAGGGCAGCGGGCCCACAGGTCTCCACCGCGGAGCCGGTGGGGACCCGCGAGCGGCCGCCCAAGCAGCTCCCGGCCGGGGGCCTCAGGGTGAAGCCCGGCACCGCCCACCCCGCCACTGCCCACAGCTAGAGGGGGGGCCGGGCGCCACCGGGGCGCTCCTCACTGCTGCCTCGCCGGCAGCGCCCACCTCCCCCGGCCCGGGCCAGCTTGGCTCCTGGGCCTGTGCTCCGGTTTCAGCCAGCCGGGGCCGGGCCCAGCAGCCCGGCCAGGCCTGACCGGCGGCAGCTCTGGCCACAGGCGACTGGCCCTGTGCCCAGTGGGCTGGGAAGCAGCTCGGGGGTCCGGCCTCAAGCAGGCAGCTGCACTGACCCCCCGGGGAGCGCCCCGGGCCCCACCCTCACAGCGGGCGCGTCCTGGGCGCCCACTGGAGGACCCTCAGCATCCTCAGTCAGGGGACGGGCAGCAGATGACCACCCGAGCGGGAACCAGCCCCTGCGGCCCAGGGGCCGGGTGGGGAGCGCTGG